GCCACCCACGACCCGATGGCGGTGCGGGGTCCTCGGCGCTGCGTGTGCCCACGCGGACTGGGCCCAAACAAAGGCAGGCGGCCCTGGAGTTTCGAGTCCGGCTGTCAGAGCTGAGTGGCGGTGTCTTCTTCAGGAGAGACAGGGGTCCTCACCCACCGAGGCCGCTCACCCAGCCACCTTCCCGGGCTCACCCTGCGGCCTCGAGCTTTGCGCCTTTTCTGGACCTTGGCATCTACAAAGTAACCGACATCGGCGGACTGTGCCAAGGTCTCTCTTCTCCACGGAAAGAAGGGATTCCAGAGCAACAATCGCAGGAGTGGTAACTTTTCTTGGGGAGAGAGAAACAAAATCCAACCTGATGACAAGGCGTCCTCCACGGACCTGTGTTTCAGAAGTCTTAGAGCTTGAGCCCAGAGCGCAACGCAAGGCGGAGGGACGAGGCCACCGAGCGGCCACCGAGCGGCCGGTGACAGCGAAGAGGCACAGACTTTGTTCCCCTGGGCAGAGGTGGGCGGACGGCAAGCAAGAGGCCGCCAGCCCCGCACAAAGAAAAGGCGGGGAGCTCTAGAGAGCACTGCAGGAGAGGTCTGGAGCATCTGTGGCTCTCAGGGGTCGGGGTCCACGCGGCCAGCAAGACAGAGGTGGGAAGTTTTCAGGTGACTTGGCGTCGAAGAGATGCTGTGCCCTTCATCTCTACCGGGCGGGTCCCGTCTCTGAGGCAGGCCAGCTTGGGCAGAGGTGGCACCGGCACGGGCTGCCGGCTTGCATCTTGTCCAGTTGTAGTGGGGAATTAGAGCATATTCCTGGACCATTTCGCGACCAGCTCGACAGGAGCAGGGCTTTTATTCTCATCAAGCCCCTCCCTGGCATTTCCCCCAGCCTGTCAGAGCCACCGAGGCCCGCTGTGCTGCCCGTGGTGGGGACACCCCGGGGACTGGGTGCACAGCCCTCAGGAATCCTCTGCACTGGGGGCCAGGAGTCAGCGCAGCCTCTCTCACCCTTTCCTGTCCCTTTTGCTCTGCAGATGAGACACAACCCTCACATGAGCACTGGCCAGCTGGAACACGCAGGGACATCCCTGCTTCGCCTTCTTACTACACCAGGGAGGCAGGCAGGAGTGGCTTTCCTTCTGTTTTGGTTTCCTCATTGCCCAGCCCAGCTGCAGAGCCTGCAGGAGGGGCTCCATAAATACTGAGGCACAGAATGAGCCCCAGGGCTTGTGTTTGCCCTGGACCTTACTGTGAGCATGAGTTTCCGGGTTCCTGGAACTTCCTGTCCTTCTGTTCTCTGCTCCAGGCCTGGAGACGCCTGTGCAGGAAAAGTGCCCAACTGGCCCAGCGCCTGCCTGTCTCGGAGGAGCGGATGATAAGACTGTCACTTCCGTATCCCTAAATACCTTGTTCCAAAATATTGTATTACTTTTACCATCGATGTGGTTTTGTATTTGAGAGTAAGTTTGTTTTTTTGTTTTTTTTGTCTCAAGACCTAAATTTGTGGAATACTTGTCATCCCTGCAGTGCTGTGATAAGTGAAAAAGAAGGAAGGTTGAGTTTAGCTTATGGTTTTGGACGTTTCAGTCCATGCCAGTTGGCCTGCGCTGGGACTTTGGCAAGGCAGCAGGCAGTGGTGGGAGCCTGTGGCAGAACTAATGCCCATCCTGTGTGTCCAGGAAGGAGAGAGGGTCAGGAGGGTGGGGCTCTACTTGTCCACTTCAAGGACACCGACCTAAGAGTGGGGACTTTCAAGGCCAGGCTGCAGCAAGGCCTGTTTCAGAGCTACGTGTGTGTTCGCCCTCAGACCCATGAAGCAAGAGTGAGCCGCGGTGAGTGGCTTTACTGCCTGCATTCCAATCCTAGAACACAGCTTCATCACCTGTGAGACACGCATCCTTGCCAGCTCCAGTTCTTGCCTGGAATGTGAGAACCAGACCTAGTTTTTGAAGCAGTCCATGCCCAGCCTTTAGAAAACTTTCAGGAAGCTTTCAGCACACGGATTGTTTTTACCTCCTGGTGGTAAAAGAGCCTCTCCAACCGTGGTCTCAGAACCAGCAGTATCCACCTGAGAATTAGAAGTGCACATTTTTGGGTCCACCCAGACCTACAGGATGGGCCAGAGTCTGAGTGGCAATGATTATGAGTATTATTTTACTGAGCGCTGAACCCAGAGCCTTCACATGCAGCTGCGTCCCTAGCCCTCTTTTTGCTCAGAGATGAGTGCTCACCAAGTCTCAGCTGCACAGGCTGGGATCCAGCTCGGGACCTCCAGAGTGCAGGGACCGCAGGCGGGCCTGTGCCACTGCGCACGGCTGGCGGTTTTCACACGCTCTTCCTTGGATCCCGCACATCCTGACAGAGCCCTACTCTGGACTTCACTGAGTTCTCACCACTATCTCAAAGAACAACAATAAAAACAAAACAGCAAAGCAATTCTGTGAAATGCAGGCCAATACACTAGAGACCAAGGGGGACAGATGGGAGGGCTCCGTTCTTCTAAATCTGAAGTCACACTGAGGGGATTTACTGAAACTGAAGCTCTTAGTTTTTTACCTCTCCTAGGAATGGAATACATGGAAGAAAATTAAGGTTAAGGATCCCTCTACAGTTTCATTTTGGTCTGTTTTTCAACATGTACTTTTTTGCATTTAATTTTTTT